GCTCTTTAAGAGTTTCGTATTGCTTCGAATAAGCATAAACATTGGCACTAAGGATACACCAAAGATCCTCTATTGAATTTATGTCAGAACTCATGGCCGGCCAATCTAGCAATGGGATGCTTCTCTCTTCAAAGAATTTCTTTTTGCACAAGAAACATGTATTGGAGCATTATCCTGTTGGAAAGTCCAATTATCTCCATGAATATTTTCAGCGAAATTTATCAGTTCGCTATCCAACAGATTTATGTATATTTCGGAATTTATTTTTGATAGTGCGAAGCATATATTAGACTTTTCCTTCGAGCTAAAGGCAGCCCACACCATTAGTGAACCACCACCATGGTTGCGTTTGTTGCAATTCTGACGTGGATGACGAATATCTCTCCAATATTTATGTTGACCATCTGGACCATCTAGATTAAACTTTTTTTCATCACTGAAAACAACTGTTTCGAACTCCTTGTCTCAAAACTTAATTTTGTCATAAAAAGCTAAACAAGTATTTTTATGTCTTTGTGTAAGGCACGGTTTGGGAACTTTCGACTCATATTTTAGCTTTAAGTCTTTTTTCATAATTTGTTGCACGCATTTCCTAGTGATAGACAAATCTAATTCATTTCTTATTTGTCTGCAACTCATCCTCTCATTGGTAGCAAGAAGCTGAATATGCCGTTTTGTTCGGTTGTTAATAGTTGGTAAGCGGCCGTCTCGCTTATAACACCATAGTTTTCGAGATTTTTTAAAAAGTTTATTATAGTATTCAGGTGTCTATAACCAGCAGCAGATATTTCGCTACTTTTCATCCCAGCAAGACTCATTCCAATAATCTTTCCGCACTCTTCACTTGAAAATTCCGTCCCACGCGGCATTTTTTATCTAAATTAATTAAAATAATAAATATTTATTAATAAATAATAAGCATTTTACTTACCAATTCTTCTTTACTCTTCAATACTTTAAAAAAAAAAACTTTATAATACACTTCACAACTTTATTTCCATTTACTGTTGACACTTCGAGAAGCAAAACAATTTTGCACATATAATTATTTTCTATTAAATTTGCTACCTATTGTTATTAATTATGATAACGGTACCACAAATAGTATACAAAAAAAACTCTATATATGTTCAGAGAAGTTAAACTCAACTACAGAATCAACTATATATAAAAAAAATTAGTACCATTATTCTAAGAAGAGAATAACGAAAAACAAATTTTGCACATATAATTATTTTACAGGGGTATATACCATATATATATATCAAATTCTAATAACTATGAATTACTCATACTATGATTGTTATTGTTTAATCTGTTTACTGCTATAATTATATTTAAGTAATATTATAAATATTTTTAACATTTTACTTAACTGTTGTCAACAATAATTAACAAACATCGTCAATTGGATCCTCATCTTCCAAATTCGTACACACTTCAGCAAAACTATCTTCTGGTAAATCCGGATAAGAAACAATTCTATAAATATAATTTATATTATTTTTTAATTTATCACATTCTTAATTTTTTTTATATATAAATAATTAATTATTACTGTTCAAAATCACATTGTGGTACTAATCCATCCACTTTTGCACTACTCCTGAATCGTATAATCGTGCATAAACGTAACACAGCCAAGAAAATTAGTAAGACTCCAGCCACATAACTTAACCATAGATTGTGAGGCCACAATAAAAGGGCAATTCCTATAGCACCGTAAATAGGTGCTAATCGCCAACCTCCAATAACCTTACAATCATGCCAACGCCTTAACCAGAAGGTATAACTATCGCTGCATAAATTAAAAAGAATACATATTTTTAAAACTTGCGTTTATAAATCGAACATATTTTAGAATAAATTTATTGATATTAATACTATAAAAACATTATTTTTATTTGCTTTAGAAAACAGCTTTAAGCTATTGTTAATATACATATGATTTATTTATTTTTTTTTAAATATTATTATTACAAGACATCGTTACCTGCCAAACAGAAGGTGCAGAAATAGTGTAATAATCCATTTTACTTCTAAGAAGAAAATGACTATAGAAGAAATTCTGAAATATTTTTGTAGTTATAAATATTGTTTATTACATTTCAAAACAGATAAGTGTTATTTACAATATATACAATCCAGCACTGTAGCCATGGTAATAAACATCGACGCCAACGCCGCAAATTGCTACGAATAAAAGATAATAAAATACCAAATTTATTATTAGGAATATTATTATTGTCCTGTTGATAAAACGAACAGATACATAAATATATAAATTATTACGAAATATTTTTGATACACACTAAATAAAAATACAATTGCCGTTCGTAATGATTCTGTTCAATTTCTGTACAGACGTACTAAAAATTCATTTAAATATCCTATTTTGCAAGGAAATTAACTTTTGCTGTGACATCATTTCACCATCTTTGCAAATTTTCCGCAAACGGAAGAGGATAATATTTTCAGTTGAGACTACATATTTATTTATACTCCATAAAATATTTAAAATACTTGATAACAGATTCTACATAATTAGTTGTATACTAAATAAATACAAAAAATTTTTTAAATAAACTTAAATATGAAAATATTAAAAACAAAAACGTGTACATATAATTTTAGGAGGGTATTGCACTAGATGTAGCAAGATTCGTTTCACAAATTTTTATTATTGTTTATTTTTATCATAATCTCCCTCTTCTTAACCGCCTCGATCAACTAACTTCCACATTTATCTCCATCTGATGAAGCTCCATCCTTTGCCACTGTGAAACGCTGGTACTCGTACAATAATTTTAATTGTGACGGAGTTTGTTCACTAACAAAATTCGTGAAGATCATCCAAAATCAGTTGATGTACCAGAAAACATTGATACTGTGCAAAATCTGATAACGCAAAATCGTCATGCGACTTACTGTGAGATTGAGGTGAAGGTGAAACCAGCATATATGAGATATTGCACGATAGTTTAGCCGTGAGAAATGTTTGTTCTCATTGGATCCCCCATCTAATTTTGATTTGACAAAATCTTAAAAAAATGCTTATGTCGATGGCGGTGCTTCAAAAGACGTATATAAGATTATAACAGGTGCCTAATTATGGATATATATGTATGAGCCAGAACGTAAACAGCAGTCGAGCAATCGACTGTATGAACCAAATCCAATAAAAATTATTCACGCTCGAAGCACTTCGAAGCAAATGATCACTTGCTTTTTCGGGAAAAGTGGTCATATGCCACCTACTAGTATCCCATTATAGGAACGTAAAACGGGCAACTCCGAATGGTATACAACCATTTGCTTATCAGAATTCTTCAGTAAAATACGCAAAACAAACAAGCGCCGTCGGATCATTCTCCATGAAGACAATCCGAGTGCTCACACTTACAATAGTCTAACAACCAAATTGTACTTAACACAAATATTTGAACAATCAAAAAATCGAATTGATCGGTCATTCGCCGTACAGTCCTAATATCGCACCCGAATATTATTTCTTGTTCCCGAATATCGATAATGAATTGCGTGGACAACGATATTTTTCGGCGGGAGAAGCTGTTATTGTATTTAAAAACTATGTTTTGGATGTGTCTAAAGAAGATTGGAAAAAATGCTTAGATAAATGGTTCGAGCGCATGCAAACTTCGAGAAACAATAAAACAATTTTCAACAACAAATTAGAATTTCTTCATTATTAGACTCAAAATATAAATAGTGACCCTCGTATGCTTTTTTCTCTTTGAGGAAAACTTCCCACTTTGAAAATAATAAGCAATTGCGTTGGAATAGATTTTTTTATTGTAATTATGCTAATTGTAATGATTAATTTATTCAGTTTCAGTAATGTTGCATGCTTTGTTCACGTTTAAAAGTGGTCAATCTGCAATATGCCCTTACTATCGCAAAAAAAAATAATAGCAATAATATTCCCAGTTGGAAATATAGTTATATAATCTATATTTTATCAACAGTTATAAGTTTGTCCAAAAAATCTAACATTTTGCTTTAAAATTTTGTTTAAAAATTGCATTTTTGGTAAAAGTTGCAATCGCAATGCTTAAAAACCTTACCCATAATTAATTTCTTCAAATCCTATTAAAAAAAATTTTTTAAATCTTAAAAAAGTTTATTGTTTTTATACAACAATCATACAATGACATGTGATGCACAAGTATCATAATATTAAATCCTAAAACTTTATAACTGCGCGGTGCTTAATTCTTTCCTTTTTAAAAACATTTAAAATCTGCTGCTGAAAAAATTAATAAAAAGTCAGCCAGTTTAATTTTTAGTCAAAACGGCTTAATTGGTCTAAATGGGTTTAGAAAATGGGTTGTAGTTTAATTTTACATGCAGAATGGGTAACCATTCAACAGGGATCCACGTAAGAAGAGCTTACGATGGTGTGCATTGTTATTGTCCCTTCAAAATGGATTTTAGAAAAATGTTGCAACTAGAATCGATAACCGTGCAACAAGGTATCCAAAAAAAAATATTCTCTGCACTTCTGTTGGATAAAAAGTTTAACTATTTGGAATATTCTGAAAAAATGTACAAGAATACATAAAGCCTTGTGATAACCTTTTACCAATTTAGTAAATAATATTAATCTTATCATTATATTAATATATTTACGTTAAAATATAATTTGAATTAATGTTTAAATTTATTCAAACCAATTAAGTTACAAAATCTATTAATAAAAAATGTGTTAATCGATATACAAGCAATTAATTTTATTGTATTCATTTGCATTGTAATGAAATAATAAATTAATATTTGATGAATCGCTATATTGTAATTACTTTGTTGCTTGTTGTAATAAAATAAACATTGCTAAAATTGACAGAAATAGTAACGTATTAATTGCATTAATGAATCGGGTCAAAGTGTTATTTACAATGTATGCATGAAGGCACACTTTTTCAATATTTTACAATAATAGTGTTTGCATTACGAAATACTTTAACTAATGGAAATTCTATTCAAAAACATGATGTAATAAGTTTTAATCAATTCCAAAGACTTTATCAACTTCTGAAAATTTATCCATTGAATAAATTAGAAAACATGAAACTAAAACGACAAACGTTAGTTCCTTCGCTTCAGTTCAATCTAAAACACGCATATTTAAATCGAAAACATTTTAGATAAGAACATTCAAAGCAAACATGTATGTTACTTATGTATATATTATTTTCTAACTTAAAATAGAACATGAATGTATCCACATGTGCATACATAAAGTAGCAAAATTGACATAATCGAATTTAGAATTCAGACAAACAACTTAATTAAGTTGTTTTCGCCTGTTAAAGATTGCTCTGATAAGTCAGATTGGCTTATATCCTCAATCTAAGTCAATTCAATTACATTAAGCTGATTAACAACTGCAATAACAACGCAACTAAAGCAAGCCAAAAACAATAACTGCTTTGCCCTATTAGAAAATAATACCAACCGCGCTAAGTAACCTCCCGAGTACGAGATATTTAACCGGAACTAGTTACAAAATCCAATCGATGTCTGATGTTTGATAGGATCCTCATTATGCGACGAAGATGTCGACGCACGTACCACATGCCAGCCAGACTAAAACAAATATTTTTGGAAAATATGCGCCATTTTGTTGCCGGTATGTGTGTAAGTTTATTGTTAGTTTGTTGCTATATGTGTACGCTACAGTTCGTATGCGACGAATAGCACACAAACGTATGCAATCAGAACTCAAACTCTTGTTTGCGGTACGACAATTTGTTGGTAATAAATTTTGGTATATCTGGCGCCAATATTACAACAATAACAATGTACTTCAAACAACAACAACAAGTAAAAACATATTGAAAAATAAAATTTTATGGAAGTAGGAGTCAGTAATCCTCGTTGTGTGCATTAAGTAGTATTTTTTAAATTATCTACAAAAAATAATTTAGTAAATATATTTATGTATGATACTTAAAATTGGCAGTTCAGTTTGTTTTATAATTGATATTTAATAATGAATGAAATTAATATTTAATTATTAAATTTTTATGTAAATTAATTAATATTAATACAAAAAATAATTTATGTTTAAATTTATTTTCTCGTTATACGTATAATATATGGATTTTCTGGCAGAATAATAATTTCTAAATCTATAAAAACTAAATTACAGGTATAATTTACTTTCATCATATTATTAATAATTTTACTAGTATTTAATAAAATGCAAATTTTTTTAATTATCGTACACAAATTATATTTATACACAATAATTTATTTTTTTTATACATATATTTAAGTACATTTTACTAACAATTAATGATAATTTATGTTTAATAAAACTTATAAGCAAATGCGTTTTGAACTTTCTTATAAAAATATGACATTTTATTTAATATCGCTTGTGAACTATTATTATTGTTTATATAACAAGTTGACTTAACAAGTCAACTAATTTGAACAACTTCCAATAATCTTTTAATATATATACTTTTTAAAGGCTATTTACAAAGTTTTGAATAAAGAACTTTTTGTAATTTCTAATTTTTATTATATTATATTATTATATTTTTTAGTTATATAAATTTTGTTATTTACATGTTCCTTAATTTCTTCAGGGTTGAAATTTAACATTAAATCGAAAGTGTGATGATTCAAAATTTTCACCAAACTTTTAAATCATTCATTAATTCGGTTTGAAAGCAGTTGAAATATTTTACTTAAACTTGTATATATTAAGCAAAATTTGTTTTTATTTAATGTTCCAAAAATGAATTTATTAAATTTACAATAAACTAACATTTTAACACAATCCAATTTTACAATTACAAGCCCGCCACAAACCCTAAATATGCCAGAGAGGCAATAATGATCAGATAATTAAGCTATTCATTAATTGGGTAACTTAGGCAACAAGCAAGCTTACTTAGAACTAAGGCTAACTCTAATAGACATCGCTAAGAAACTGGGGATCTATATGTAGAAGTCAGTTCTAACCTTACTTAAGTTATTTTAATTGCTTATAGAAATTCAAATTGTGATTTCAGCGAAGAATTTGAATTTTAAATTTTTTGTTTTCATATGTAGGAATTTATATGTCATAAATTTATTTTTTTAACTTATTTTATTTTTTGAATTGCATTATTATTACCTTATATACCTACAAAAAACTTGACTAACTCAAATAATGATATATTAACACCTATTTCCAATTTTTTCCGAACTCTACTTTAAATTTTAAATAATAGAGATATTATAAAACTAATAAACAGAACAACATTAATTTTATATTAAATATGACTTTATTATTTTTGATAATATTTTCTTTTATGATCTCCACATAACGGGTGATCCCATGTTCGGTTCTCAAAAAGTCTATTGTTAGAGCTACAAAATGTTTGACTTTGCAATGATAAAGCATGATTCATCATTGATACTATTACACCTAATATTAATTTGCATTTTTTGTGTAAATTTAATAAAATATTATTTCATTTATAATTCTAACGAGTTAGTCAATAAAATATTGAAATTATAATAATTCCTATAAAAAATCTAATTCATTTAACAGAAAAAATTCAAAATTACTTCTGTCAAACATATGATACTGGACCAGTTATAATTAATTGCACTACATTTTTTGAATGACGCTGTAGCTACATTATCAGTGACAAATAACTTTTGTTAAATTTGGTTTATCATAATCAACAGCTGCTTAGTTTCAAGCTCATACGTTCAAATCCATTATTCATCGCCTGTAAAAACCTTATAGACTTTTTTTAAACCACCGTTATTATACTTCTTAAAAATTTTTCTACATGATTCGACATAAGTATATTTTTTGATTTCTTGTCAAATTATGTTAATATTACTTTAATTTTATTATCTTATCTAATTTCAATGGGTCTACAATAAATTATAATGAAATATTCAAATATGTCCCAAAAAAATTCAAAATTTTTCTTTATACATAATCAACTGTAATAACTTCTTCTACCCTTTCACTCTTCGATGATGGAATTTTCACAAAATTTTTAACTTTTTTCAACAGCAAGAATAACTTTTTCTTCCACTTCAATATATATGTACTATAATAAAAATTTTTCAAACTTATTCTAAAATACTTTAAACTTGCAAACCTCTTAAATTTTTTCCTTTTACGCTCACCAAATCTTTAATAAAATAAATTTTGATTTCACATACATTGTAAATATTTATGTACACTGATAACTGAAAGTCCAGTACATCGTGAATGTTTTTACATATTTTTAATTTCTTTTTAAATCTGTTCACTTGACCAGCAAGAATAACAGTTGGAAGCCAAAAGGCAAACGATATAAATTTTAATTGCCATTTTAAGTGATAACTTCACTGTAAATGCAACGTTATTTGCTGTTAATAACAGCTCTTCACGAATCTTTGACTTTAATAAAAATACACTTCATTTATATAAGAATTGGTAAATTGCAATTTTAAATAAATTGACAACTTAAGTGTTATTTTAATTAATAACTGTTATTTAATTACTAGAATATGCAACAATACTTTAAAAAATATAATTGAAATTATTGTAAATTATTTTCAGTTGAAAAGTTAGCTATATATGTTAAATAACACAGCTTATAACAGCTTATAAATAGTATAAGATAATAATTAATCATAATATTAACTTCTAAATAATAACATAATAATTTCAGTTTTGCTTAGAAATCGTCAAAATCTAATTTACTTTTAATTAAGTACAATTATAGTCCACATAATATTGCATATTTTTATTTTATTTTAAATTACAAGCTTTAAAATATGATGTACATATTTACTTATATCCACACATCGTCCCATTATATTCAATTCTATTTCCTGGCAGAGTCCTTACCACGTAAATTATGCATAAGTCAGTGCCGGATTAATGTCTTGTTACAGTTTCTGCCATAATAATAGTCCCGTATATAAATCATGTAACAGTTTTGTGAGTTTTGTAAGTTTTGTTTTTGTTTTTGTTTCTGTTCCTGTTTCTGTTAAAATAAAAAATATGTTAAGGCAACAACATGAAAATTTATTTGGTCTCTTACGATAATTGAAATGGCTGGTCGGATACTTGTATTTGTGTGCATATTTTAAAACAAGAAATATCATTTTGAGATTTATTATGCAGTAATAAAAACAAAACACTTCAGGACACAAAAACTGCTGGAAATAATGGCAATTTTTAGAGGGAAAATACATATTCAAGTTTCCTTTAAAATTAAGATATGCACCAATGCGTGAATTTATTGCTGAACTTTAAAAATAAGAAAACGGAAGTTTTCTGCTGGTATCATCATCCTGAGCCAGTTATTCTTTTATATTTTATATGGATAAATATGATTATGATTTGTACAGATGAAACTGTTATTATCTTTTATACATATAATACATATATCTGTCTATGTACATATATTAAAGTGAATTCCTGTGCGTTTTTGTTTTTTTTTTGTTTATTACTTTACTTCCGAATAGACTCTTAACTGAATTAATGGATTCAAATTCTATATTATAACTTGAGGCACAATAAAAACATGGTTTCCTCTCAAGTTTTAAAACGGAAATATTAGTTTTATAGCACTCAATCGTTTATAACACCTCTATATGAGACCGTGATATTAAAATTATGAATCCGTAAATTTTGATTTGAAAATTTTGAGATGAATCCGTAAAATTTGATTTTGAGTAGCAATAAAACACAGTTTTTCCACAGCAATGAGTAATACCTTATTTCTATATACAGTCATTACAGCAAGTCACTATTTTGGAGACCATTGAGCTTTTAAAACAAAGAAGAATTATTCATTCCAATGAAAACCACTTATTTTAAAGCACAGCTGTTATAATCTTCAAAATCGCTTATTTTGTTCGCTTCTCTATGCTACATTGGTGTATAGAGCATTTGTTAATGCTAAAATCACCAAAGTTCTAACCAAATAGCTCTTCAATTACAACTTGCAAATTACAAAATCTCTTATTTTTAATTAGCGACTATTCAGTGGCCATTTACATCAGTCATTATATCCTTAATTATACAATTTCACTCAACATTTTAAGATGATGAACTAGAAAGAATTCCGTCCGAACTAAATTATATACGACCCTGTGTCAAACACAGAACAATAAATATAAAATAACATAGAAGAATAATATTCGAATTTAACTATATATTGCTATTGAACATTACTGATAAGGTTTATACAGTCAAAAGAATAATTTTGAATCAACTCGAAACTGGTTAAAATATAAAAAACTATTTGAAACTTTAATGGTTGTAATAAAAAAAGGAACACAATTTGGAGCAGATGCATATTATTTATTAGCATTGCCTTTGTTCTAAATGCATCTGATTTCTGTCTATTTAGTTGATCCAGAAGTTGCCCTACTGTTTTAAATCTGTACTATTTTTATATCCATATAATGTTAAAAGATATGCATCCACACCTTGTATGAATACGGTTCAATATTTCTAATAAATTTGTTCTACAGCGTATTGCTTAACGTATAAGATCATATAGCCTTACTATAATAGAAATATTAGTTTTTGTAGTATTAATAAAATAAAAGCATAAACACTTTATTTTATTTTTCTTCTCTTTTCAATCCAAATACGAATTATAAACTACAATCTACAAATTTTCTTTAAAGTTAAATTATACGATATTTAATACAAAATGCAGTAAAATTATTCTTAAATTAACAGCTGTTTTATGTTATTTGAAATCAATATTTATAGATAAAAATAATATGAAACAAAAGTTTAGCGAATTATATTTGATGCTAGGACCTAAATTAACACTTTGCTTAAAAAATAAATCACTTGTATATAAAAGGGTAATTATGCCATAGCATCGAACTTTGGGGTACTGCCTCCAAGTCCAACAATCAAAAAATTCAAAAACAACAATCAAAAATATTAAGAACCATCGTCCATACTGATTGGTATATACCAAACAACGATGCCTTGAGCAAATAACCTAAGTGATAAAGGCGGCTAATGCAAAGCACATAACTAGACTATTTACACATGAAAACTCGGAATTCCACATATTACCGACGAAAGAATCGGGTCACACCAGAAGATTCAAACGCTCATTCCCAACAGATTTGCTAAATATTATGTTATGTTCTAATGTTAAAATTGTTACTTTTCTTAATTTACTCATTGAAAAAATTGTATTGATTTAATATTACGTATTATCCTTATATACTAAAGTTCTTCCAATAAATTATTGCCATTTCCTTTAAGGCAGGTGTAATTATAAATAAATACGAAAAAAAAGTATTTATGGATTACTCTGAACATGTTCGATTGGGCCATCAAAAAAATGAGAGATCTATAGCAAATCTATAGGATGATTTAAATTTAAAACTTGAAAAGTTAAAAATTCTCAATTTTTCAAAAACTATCTTTTCTTCCAATTAACCCATATACCAAAACTTACTTTTTGAAGTTAAATTAAAATAAGTTTTTAATATTTTTGTGTAAAAATATTTTAAAATTTTTTCCATGTCACTTTAATTTCAAAACTTATTTAAATAAACATACACTTTATCATAAAGTACCCTGTATTTTGAAATATAACTAATAAAAACTAAAATATAAATATGAGAAATGTTGAAACTTTGTTTTAAAGTTTTCCATATTTAAACAAATTGATGTAAAAAGTAAGGTTGCATATCTCATCAGATAAATTACTATCATTAACTCAGATTCTTGATTATCTTCATTTAATATTTTTAAAAAATGTTTATAACAACTTCCTTTTATCCTCTTTTACAAATGTAATGTGTTCCCATTCCAAAAAAAGAACTTATCAAAATTGCTTTGTATTCATCTAACTAAGCACACTTACCAAAGGCCGTTATTATACCGAAAATCCTTATTACTGGCCGTAAGCAACTGCAGGGCTCAGCAGCTTGTCGACGCCTTCGATGTAATTGATTCATATTGAAGCAAATAGCAAAACTTAAATTGTGACAGTTTGTACCTTTTTTATAGCACTTCTTCCTCCACGCACTTCACTTAAATTGTTTGTAATTTTTGTTTTATTTTTATTATTTTTTCATCTTTGCAGAATATAACAAAAAATAACAAACACACACACCCACACACGCAACTTATTTGACCTTAGGTCATTTACTGTCATTTGTATTCAGCAAACAACTTCAAGCATATGCACGTTTCTATGCATTATCCATATTGTCAGCATCCTTACATATACATATACAAATATAGTATATATGCGTTCATGAAAAGTGTGCATTAAAATTATAATAAAAACATCTTTTATTTCTTTACGGTTTATTTGTTTGTTGACTTTTAACTTGACCCAAACGTAAACGTAAACGTTAGCATCAACACTATTTACTAAGGATTATATGCACGTTAAACTTTCAAAATATTAAAGATGTTGCCTTCCTTCTTAGCTTAATATAACTGAAGTAAATGCTACCATTCATAACAAAAATACTAACAACAACGCTAATGGCGACAAATTTTTACCATTGTTCTTTATAGACAAAACTGGGAGTCGCATCAAATTTGTCCGTGAGTATACCATATCATGTAAACAAACACCGCGTCACAACTAAGCACAACAACAATTACACTCTAATACACATGCAATGCATATAAATCAGGCGAATTCTTGGCAAAGAACATACAATAAAATGCCAACTCAATGAAACAAGAAATCCGAACGTAAATGCAAACGCAAAAAAAAACAAAAAAAGAAAAAAATTCACGTTTTATGTTTTTTATCCTGTTCGAAAAAAAAAAATATTCCTGCGTAGCTTTCTTGCAATACCAAAAAAAAAACTAGCTCTAATAATGCTGTGACTATTACATTGCTGCTACTTCACTGCCTTCTCTAGATGTTGCCATACAAAGTAAATAAAAAGAATTATTGCGTTTATCCTTTCTTATGGTTGCAGTGTGATGTCAGCTTTTTTACCCTTTTTTTGTTTTGTTTGTTGAACTGCAGTGCTTGTCGTTTTATTATTATATTCAATTCTTAGGAAAACTCTATGGCGACAGAATTCGTATGCGTATCAGACTTAACGTTTTAATTTCCGTATTGTAAACTTTGAACAGTAGTTACTTTTATGAATAATTTATGCATTTAATTTTTTTTTTTTTATACTTTAATCAATTAGCAAAAACGAATATTCTTATTAATTTTATTTTTTTAAATCAATAAATTTATTGAATAAAAAAACGTTATTATCAAATTAGATTTCACAAAAATTTGCCTGATTTTTATTTACTTATAACGATATTACGTCCTTTTACCGGTAAAACACGTATTTTCAATTTCTCTTGTAACACATCCGCATTCGACCAACAACAGAAGTCAAATGATTCTACAAGCTTGTAAAGTCAACTAAACAAATTGTAAGTTGTTGTTATTGTTGTTTTTGCAAGTTTGAAACTGTTAGTGCGATGCTTGCGTTTGAGTTTGGGGTTGTGTTTGTTTTTGTTTTTGTTTTTGTCACTGTTGTTCTGCTTCGTTGTGTGTTTGGCATGAGTTCGTGGCAGAATTATAACTGGCTTAAAATTTGATTATGGTCACCAATTTCAGCCCCTTTTAGCACGTAGCCAATATTTTTGGCTGTGGTTTGGTTCAACCAATTTTCATTTTAAAATTTTTTAAATGATTCATTTTCAGCGTACAGTACGCTAAAGATGACTAAGGGCTATAATCATAATTTTGATGACAAATATATTTTTCAAAAATTGTTTTAAAAGTTGTTTATTATTTAAGCAATTAATTAACCACTTATCTATGGTAGTTAAAAGATGTTTAATTAAAATTTAACTGTTATAAAAATAAATTGTGAAATATATATAAATAAATATAATATATGTGAATATAATATATAAATAAATAAATTATAAATTATTTTATAAATTATTAACTTTGATATACAGATATTACATTTTTTTGTAATAATTGTTTTTTAATAATAATTGTAATAATTGTTTTAAGTAATACATATTTTATATTATAACATAAAATGTAATAATATAATTAATGCAGCACCTTCGTTCCGTAAATTTTAATTAATTTAATATATTCGTCTATTAAGGTAAAAATAATATTTTACTAAAAATAATCTGTCGTTTTAAATATACAATGATAAATAATAAAAAATAAAATGTAAAAAATAAATAAAGTAAATATAATATGAATATAAAGATCTGCTTACTTAATTATAATTATTTGTATGGAAATGTCATTATTAATAATATATAGCTGTATAGCTTTCTATATCTAATAGTATCTATTCAATTTTTAACATATTGGTCGGCGCGCATCGGATTACACTCCATCTATCTATTTAGGTCCCTGTTTTTTTCTAAATCTTTCTTTCAAAGGACTCTAATTTTTAATTATTTTTTTTGTGTTTTTTTTGTTGCAGTTATCTTAATGGCATGAATGACCTGCCTGCCCCATTAGTAAAGTTTACTATATCTTCAAGCATATCAAGTCTGATACTTGAATGAATAATAAATAAAAAAATTAATAAAAAAAATAAATTAAAAAATAAATAAAAATAATGCGTTTTAAAAAAAATTAACAAAAAAAAATCGATAAAAAAATTTATTAAAAAAATGTTTATTGAGCTTATATCAAGAAATAAAAAGTTCGTGTAGATTCATATTTGTTAATGTATAATGGATACACCCCTATCCTCTGGAGACCAACGAATAATTAAAAAAAAGCATTAAAAAAGTGATTAATTCTTAAAAACGACAAAGATCTTGACAGCCGCGAAAGGCATTGCTAGACTTTTTGATACGGTAAAGGCATTCTTCGGCTTAATTACAATAATTTAATTACAATAATTGGAGCACTCTATGCAAATTACCAGACAAGACAACATATTTGTTTCATCATGGCAATGCATCATCTCTCGATTTAGTGGTCAGCATACCGCAACTACTATTCCAAATAATGACCAACCTCAACCCCAGACTTGAATGAATTTTTCTGTTTTCAAAGCTCAAACTTTTGGTCGAAATAAAACATATCCCCATACGTATGATTTTTTGAAAATTCAAAAAATTCAAAATTTCGTTGGAAAGATGCAAATAACGTAACCTTTAAATACATTTCTTTCTATTTGACAAAATTATTTCTAATTCAATATTTACAAGAAATTTTTTGCATATTTCAATCTAAATTTATTTAATTTATTTAAGCAAAATAAATTTTAAATTTTAAAAATCCTCCATACCAACACTAAAGATAATCCAATTTATCTGATAAATTCTCACCACCAATGAAACTGGCTGTTTTCTTTTAAAAGTCACACCACATAAAATTGCTATAAGGAGAAAATAATTTTTTTGTCAGACTTTATTTCAACGTTTAGTTCTCTCGTTTAACCTACCTTTGATCTAAAGCACCATTTCTGCAAATGATTATTTTTTATGAGTTAATTTTTTTCTTTTTTTTCCGTAGATGTTTTTGTTCTTATAAATTTGCATATTTATTTACTTTAATATCTAATATTATGCGAGTTAACCTGTAGGAGACGGGAAAAAGCGCTTAGCTTAGTAAGTTTGACGGTGCGTATGAGCAACATATTTTTTATTAATTTCAACATTTTTTCTATGTGCATTTTATTTATTTCGTCGTTCCTTATCAAAACAAGATATTTTTTTTGTTTTTAGTTTAATTTAAAATTTTGTTATTTACAAAATTCTTTTCTTCGCTTCATAATTTTCGTAATTCCTGCCACCATGGCCACTTCCGGCATTGAAAGTTTGGCATCCTCTTGAAAATCACAACGTCTAGCCAAATGCAGCCAAGTTCGTTCAGGATTCAATGATAATGGAGTTTGTAACCATGTCACATAATCGATTTTTAGAGATCCTGTTAAAAGCTTTTAAAAAATTATTCAATTAAAATGTAATATTTACAAAATTTAAAACAAATTTAATGTACTGAGAAACAAAATTTTAAACAATTTTTGTAAATTAATTAAAATGCATATGAAAACTATTAGAAATAATATTGGATATAATAGAGATACGCTTTAGTGTTACTTATAATAAAAATCATAAAACAATAAAGATAATCTATGTAAAATTATAGAAAGGGAGCAATTTCTTGTAATAAAGTTTACTATTAGTTGAATAATGTAAATAATTCGCATTAAATGTTATAGTTTAAGCAAGACTTTTGCATCCTGCAAATAAAGGAAAGTCATAAGATACTTAAAATTTATGTTATTTGCATTATTTGCTAATTTAATTAATATGTAACAAGTAAAGGCTTCCTGTGTTTGTTGTTGAAAATATATACAACTAAAGTAGGGTTGTTGTTAATTTTTCAAAATTAATTTCTTTATGATAAACCACAATATTTATTAAATTATTTTTTAAAAATTAAAGCATTTTATCACCGACCCAAAAAACAGCTTCATGCATCTTCATGAATACCTGTTTAGATTATAAATTAAGTCTAGAAATGGAACAGAAGATGAGGTAACGAAACTAGGCGTATAGTTGGTAGAAAAATATTATAATATAATAATATTCTCCGATCTCACATTAACCCATTAATGGCCAACAACTGATATTTCAATTAAATTAAATTTTAAAGGTGGATCATGTTTAGATGTTGATACAGATACAGTTGATACAGTTTGCAATGTATGTAAAAACTTTTATATTTTTAAAAAATAATATGAGTCGACAAACAAATCATATCTCTAAAATCAAAAAAAAAATGTTCATTTTCTTGATTTTCGAATTTTTCAAAACGCAAGCACCGCCTTCAAATTTCCTATAATCGTAAAAATATAAAAGTATATTTGAGAGCATTAACATAAAAAAATCAAATTTTCAAAAAAAAAACACCAACTATATTTAGTTATATTTGGTTAAATTAAGTGATATATTTATATATAGTTTCTTTTAAATACCCATTTAAAAATTTTATATATTTTCAAATATTATGAGTTACTATTATTAAATACTAACCTGATCAAAAGGTGTGTTTCCTATAAAGAACATAGTTTTTAGTACAGATTGTTTAGTTTCTTTTATATTTTGTCCCTGTATGCCTTGAAATGGACTGGGATCATTTTCACTTGTGCCCAATTGTTCCATAAGCCATTCTTTATTATTTTTTAAATAATTATAACAAACCTGTAGAAGATTTATCAAAAGATTTGAAAACAATATCATTTCCAATAAATTTAATATGAACTACCAACCTTTAAAGCTTGTTTACCGATATCCGTTGTTAACACATCGCTAGCCAACAGTTCAGCTATATAGTCGGCTGTACCAACATCAAGTTCCATAGCATAATTTGCAGGTGGACTATGGCTAAGACGATCTGAATCTGCAGTACCTAAATCATCAATTTTTATCGTACTAACAGCACTTAAACCGCCTGCACTACGACCACAAGCACCAAATCCATAATCTGTATCCAGTGTAATACTTTCACTAGCTTGCTTTAAAAACAAATCAATCTGATCTGTATGCTTATCATCTTCATCTACAGAACAAATAGCTTCAGAAAGTGAGTAACAAATCGATGATTTTGCATCGTTTTTCTCTATTATCAATAGGAAATAAATTAATACTTTGACCAGTTTATAAATGAAAGATATTGCATACCCTTTTCATATGATTCTGCAGATTTAATAAGCTCTGTATACAAAGCAGCAAATACTGATTGTAACAACACAGAATCACCTAAAATTATTGTATATTTTCCTAATAGTCGAAAAAGTAAATGCAAGCAGTAATTATATCACACTTACCTAGTGGTTTTGTAGAAACTGGTATTATATCTTGTAATAATGATGTGATTTTGTAAAGACCCTCTGGTATACAGTCCCACATTTCGGAAACACAAGTAAGTGCTAAAGACATTGCCTGATACATGCTTGCACCTGCTTCAACGGCATTAATTAACATATCAACTACACAGTCCAATACCGGATATACAAAATGCATAATAGCTTCTAACCAAGGTGGACGCTTTTGATTCCAAACCTAAAATCAGTTAAATATTTAGTTTTCATAAAAATTGTATTATGTGCTTTATGATGTTTTAATACTTGACGTTTATCTAAGCAGTCACTCCAACCACTTGAAGCAATTTCTTCCAATACCTTAACTAGACAAGCTTTTATATCAAGAGCCTTACCCACTGCGATCAATATATATGTTAACGATAAAACAATTTGATAGTTCGATTGACCGACTGGATCTAAACGTTATAGTATTTATTATAGAATATATAATTTTGTTATATATAAATGAATAGATATACCCAAATCATCAGCAATCAGATCAGATACATTAAAACATTCACTACGGCATAAAAATGCCTTACATTTTTGCGGTTCACTTCCATGCTCAGTAAAAGAATGTTTAGCTACATTTTTAAAATTTTCTGATGCTGGCAGATATTTTAATAAATGCCGTAAAATAATT